GTTACAAGAAATTGTCTCAAAAAAAGACAAAGATCAGCAGGTTGGCTCAGAGGTTACAGGCATTTGCCCATCAAACCCCATAACCTGAGTTCTAGTCCTGGGACCCACAAGGATGGACGTGGAAGAATGGCTCCTGTGTGTTGCTCACCGACCTCCACAGGCGTGCTGTGGCACATGCATAATACCCACCATCAATGCCACCACCAAGGCCTCTCCCCCCAAAAAACAAATAAATGTAAAAAAAAAAAAGACAACCAAAATTATCATTCAAAATAATAGTTTTTTAAAAATGAAGAATACTGTCCTTTTAAATTTAAATGTCTCTGCTCCCTGCCAGCTACAGGCTGCTAGCTTTGAACCTTTCACTGTTAGGATCTGCTTAGTCTCATGAAACACGCATTTGCCTGTGCCTTAAATACGTTCAAAGGTCCTTATGGGTTCTCAGGGGAAGTTTAGCTTCTGTGAGGTGAAAAGTTACCTCAGAGGATCCCCAACTCTTGTCCATTTTCTCTCTCCTTTCAGCTCTAGAGTCCCCCAACTAACACACCTGCCTTCAAGATTCACTTAACTTGACCGGGACTGCAATTTTGATGTTTCAGTACCAAACTGGTGGGGAACGTGAAAGACCAAACAGGCTGGATAGCCTGGGAGAGCAGGGCGTTGTGGTGGAAGTCTGCGGTGTCCTGAGAGCGTGGTCCTCTTTAGAAGACAAAAGAGACGTCTACCTAGACGCCAACTTCAGCATGTATATACTACAGACGTATTCACTCTGTCACACACACACACACACACACACACACACCTCTGTCTCTCTCTCTCACACACACCTCTGTCTTTGTATCTCTCTCTCTCACACACACACACTGTCTCTCTCTCACACACACACTGTCTCTCTCTCACACACACATTGTCTCTCTGTCTCTCTCACACACACACACACAATGTCTCTCTGCCTCCCTCTCTCTCTCTCTCTCTCTCTCTCTCTCTCTCTCTCCCTCTCTCTTTGTCACACACACAGCCTCGCCATTGTAGCTACCATTGTAGCCCAAGCTTCAATTTCTCAGCGACTGTACTTCAGTTTCCTAAGCATTGTGATATACTAGGCCCCCAGAAAGTTTTTTAATGAGTGTACCTCGTTGGTAGAGTGCTCGCCCATTACGTACAGGCCCTGGGTTGGCCCTCCACCATGGCAACAATAAACAAAAACAATAACAAGCCAATAACAACAACAAACAGCCGGGCATGTTAACTCATGCTTGTGGTGTCTGCATTCCAGCACCGCAGAGTTCAAGATCAGCGTGGACTGCGTAGAGTTCGCCTCCAAAACCCAAAACCCACCAAACAAACCAGTGTAGTTCACATGTCATACAACCGCATTTAGGGTACGCAGGTTAGGAATCATCACCATCTTAATTTTAGAACGTCCACGTCACCACCACAAAGAAACCTGCGGTGTCGGTGAGCAGTGACCGTTCACTTCTGCCTTTCCCCAGTGCCTGGCAACCACGACTCTACTTCCTGTCTGGGAAATTCAGAAGGGTTTTTAGAGTCAGAAGTGCAGGCGCTGGTTTCTCAACGTGGGGTGCTCATGGCTCTTTCGCTCCCTCTTCTATGGGGCCCTCAGTTTCTTCCTTTGGTTGATGGGTGGGTCTCTGTCTCAGCTGCGCGGTGGAGAGGAGAGAGGAATAACAGCGGCGGAGGGCTGCAGAGCCTGCCTGAGGCGCTGAGTTCATCCCACCCTGCAAAGACCAGAGTGCTGAAAAGGAAGATTGCTTCTCGGCCTTCGACTACGAATCAGTGTAAAATGAGGAGAAAAAAGAAAGTGAGCAAGTGAGGGCTGGAATTTCAGAAAAAATACCAATGAGTAAGCCCCATCCTCAGAAATCGTAATTCGCTTGATCTGGGGCGGGACTTATGAATGGAAATTCTAATTATCTTTTTTTTATCAAAAATTCGCATTTATTTATTTATTTGTTTAGTCTATGTGTGGGGCTCTCAGCAGTCAGGTCTAGGGACTGAATATCAGGGTTGGCAGCAGGGGCCTTTATCTGCTGAGCCATCCATCCTACAAACTGTTCCCTCCTTTTTTAGCGTTCATTTCTTTATTGTATGTATGCATGAGGAGTCAGAGGACAATGTACAGGAGCTTTGATCTGCGATCACAGGTCACTAGATTTGGCAGGTGGCTTCACCTGCTAAACCAAGTCGTTGACTTTTTTTTTTTTAGCAACATCAAATATTGGTTTAATATTGGTTAATATTGGTTAAGCACTTAAGAACACTGAACTGCTTTTCCAAAGACCTGAGTTCAGTTCCCGGAAGCTGCATCAGGCAGCTCAAAGCCACCTGTAGCTCTAGCTCTGCTGCCTTGGCCTCCACTGGCATCTGCATTCATGTACATATATCTACACACAGACAAGTAATTAAAAATAATAAAAATAAATCTTTTAAAAAAAAAGCATTGATGTGTGTCCATAAGCCAAATGTTTTTCACACAAGCCTTACAATGCAAATATGCTCCCCAGAGCGGCAGAATAAACTCCTACCAGACCTTGTGAGTCAGCTTCCCTCGAGGAGCACCCCCCACACACACCCGCAATCGCACACTAAAATCTAGAAAGCGTTACTTTCAGGTTCCTGCCAGCTCTAGCACTCCACAGTCTGCCATCTCTGCTCTTGCCTTGGTGAGCCACCAGGTGACTTTAATAACCAGTTCCCACAGATCGGAGTTTACACTGGAAACTTGGCTTAGTCTCCTTGCTAAACAGGATACAGGACCACGCTATTGGCAAAGCCTCGCAGAAGTTTGTTCAGTGATAGCTAGTTACACAGTGAACTGGAAGAACATCAAGTCACTTTAGGGTTGTTTTATCTGCTATCCAGAAGAGGGAAAGACCCATATGTATACGGGATTTAGGTCTCAACCTGTGGGCAATTTCGGAGCATTCTTTATATTTTGCAAAACCCACATACCGAACAGGCTTACATTTAAAGTACAAGTGGTGAGCAGGGCATGGTGACTCTAATCCCAGCACTCAGAAAGCAAAGGGATGAAGATCTCTGTCAGTTATAAGGTCAGCCAGGGTTACCTTGTCTCAAAGGAATAAATAAAGTATGACCAGAGGCATTCAATTTTGGTTGCCAATTAGAGTCACCTTATTTTACCTATTTTTAAAGGTGTTTTAGTTATTCTGTGCATATGTGTGTATGTATATATATCTGTGGGCATATCTGTATATGGGCATGTTCATGCCACCACACGCATGTGGAAATCGGGGAAAACTGGTGAGAGCCAGCTCTCTCCTGCCATCATGTGGCTCCTAGGAACTGAACTAAAGTCGTAACTTGGCAGCAAACACCTTTCCCAGCTGAGCCATCTTGGAAGACCTTATTTTCTTTTTAAGAAAGGATTTCATGTATTCCAAGATGGCCTCAAATTCATTATATTGCTAAAGGCACTACCTTGGACTTGGGGTTCTCCTTCTAACTCCCAAGTGCTGGGATTATGGGCATCTGCAACCATGCCTAGTACACATGATGATGGGCGTGGAACTCAGAGTGTGTGTATGCCAACCATCTCACTGGGCCCTCTAGCTTAAAAAAAAACTGAATAGATTATTTACTTGTTTATTTGGGTAGATGCTGAGAATCAAACTCAATCTCATGCGTGCTAGTAAGCACTCTTTTTTTTAAGTTTCTTTTTTAAAAATTATTTTTATTTTATGTACATCAGTATTTTGCCATGGGTGTTGGATCCCCTGAACTGAAATTTTAAACAGTTGTGAGCTGCCATGTGGGTGCTGGGAATTGAACCTGGGTCCTCTGGAAGGACAGCCAGTGCTCTTAATCTCTGAGCCATCTCTCCAGCCCTGCTAGTAAACACTCTCACCTTTCTGTTCTCTCTGGGTCTTTTGTTTGTTTTTGTTTCTAAGACAGGGTCTCATGTGTCTCAGATCTGGACTCTCTGTATAACTGAGGATGACTATAAACACCCGACCCTCACGCCGCCACATCCCAAGTGTGGGATCACAGGTGTACAACACCACATCTGTCTCTCTGGACAGCTTCAAAACTCATGATATCTGAAATCCAACCTATGCTGAACAGTTCAGAAGCTTGGTCCTGCTTACTTCTAATTTCTTGGATGATTCTAGTAGCCAAATTTGAAATTGTTACTATATTTCACTGTTGTTGGTCTCTTCACTACATAAAAATAAGCCCTCTTTAGAAGGCAGAGGCTCTATTCACAAGGTTGACTCCCTTCAGAAGCCCTTGCTGAATATCTCAATGTCTTGATCAGCAACAAGATTCCAGAGAAGGGCACTACCAGTGAAGAACACATACACGGAATCTTGAAGAAGCAATCTTCTTAAGTGTGTGACCATGCCCAGCACAGCGGCCACCTGGGCACTTAGCATCCTGTCGTGAGAAAGAGTTTTTTTTCTGTCAGAGGTAGGTAGCCTGACAAGGACTCGTGTTTCCCAAACCCACCCTCCATCCAATCCCACCACACTGTGAAGTTGAGGTCCCACCAATAGGCTGAGCTAGAGTCACCCCCACTAACTTCAGGGATGAAAGATGGAAGACCTCTTGGCCAAGGGCACTTGCTAGGCCAGTTTGTGTCTTGGCGGACCCTCTTTTTGCGAGGCTTGCCCTTGCTGAGCTAACTTTGCTTTGTCTATGTGTTCCTTGGTGCGACACTGAGATCATTCTTTGATTCTAGCAATGTCTCCCCAGTTCTGTGCACACTGGAAACCTACACAGAGTCTATAAAGAGGGCCTTCCCTTTCTACCTGTAGATTGTAGGAATTATGCCAGTAGCTGTGTAGGTTTGATACACATTGATTGATACACCATTGGTTGACAAAAGCATGGCCTGGTTGTGATGGCTTAGATCTAGCTGTGGAAGCTTGTGTGCAAGCCTGTGGTGTTATTGAGAGGTGGTGGACATTTCGGAGGGTGGGGCTTAGAAGGAAGAGGCCATCAGGGGCATGCTCCTGAAGGAGATCTGTGACCCTGACTGACCCTGATCCTGACTCTCCTTTCTCTGCTTTCCTTGTTCTGCAATATCCTCCAATGTACCCTGTCGTGATGTCTACATGCCTGCACACAAGGCCAAAGAAAACTTTCTGCCATGTATGCTAGTTTGCTCTGGCATTTTATCACAGCCACAGAAAGCAAACGCAGTGATGCTAGCCAGTTAGTCAACAGGCCCGCTAAAAATGGTTTCTGGCGCTTGGGGAAGGCTAGAGAAGAAGAGAGAGATAAGATATCCATAAATAGGAGAGTTAGCACCCACTGCAAGGCAGACTAGAGCTGCCTGGTGGTAAAGGCTCAGCTGGTGGTAAAAGCAACAAGGACACCAGAAGCTCGGAGGAAGAGAAATCAGTGCCCACCAGAAAGGGACAGAGAAGTTTCACAGCAAAGACCCCCCACAGCCGGTGAGAAGGTTCTGTTGTGGTCATTTGTTTGTTTTTGTTTTTCAAGACAGCGTCTCCCTTTGTATCTCTGGCTGGCCTGGAGTTGGCTGTGTCAATCAGGCTAACCTGGAACTCACAGACTTCTTCCCGTCTCTGCCTCCCAAGCGCTGGGATCAAAGGTGTGTGCCGCCACGACCAGTCAAAGCAACACACTTTTGAATGAGCGGTGGGTCATCCTAAAGATCGGAGAGGAAATTCAGATTATTTTTAAAAACATGTTGTCGAGGTTCTCAGTCAGTGGCTAGGCTGTACAAGCGCACCTGTGTACCGAGCACAATGACCCTGGGATCCCCATCCCTAGCCGTGCAAAACAGACAACACCCAATAAAACCGATATAGCTCAGCGTGTGTAACAGGGTGTTAGCACACAGCGAGGAGGATGAGAAGGGCAACGAAGCAAACACGGACAAGGGAACAGACATGCAGAGACTCAAAGGAAGAGATGCTGTGGCGTAACCACTAAGAGTCACACACAGAGGGTACAGTGGCACAGGCCTGTAACCCTAACACTCATGGATGGAGGTAAAAAGATCACGAGTTGGAGAGCAGGCTGGGCAATACAGTAAGACCCCCTCACATATACACACCAGCACCATGATCACAACCAACAACAACAACAACAAATCATCCAGCTCTGCCACTCAGCCAATAAGAGCAGCACCAGCTAGAACTTGAACTTGGATCCATTCGGCTTCTCTGTCTTGTTTTTTGTGACCCTCTGCCTCTCAGAACTGTGTATTTCTGTTTTTATATATATTTATATATGCTTTAATAACACATTTGAATGAAGTTTGAAATAAAATGTATGCCCTGGCAAGGCTGAAACATGCATGAGCAGCCCATATATGGCGGTTCTATTGAACTTCTCCATATTAGGTTTCATGGTCTATGTTGATGAGGTCGATTGACCAGGTCTCTTCCTCAAGAGGGCACCAGATCTCGTTACAGATGGTTGTGAGCCACCATGTGGTTGCTGGGAATTGAACTTAGGACCTTTGGAAGAGCAGGTAGTGTTTTTAACCGCTGAGCCATCTCTCCAGCCCTTGATAATACATTTACACATTAATAACACATTTATTCGTATATTTATTTCATTCTTTCTTTGATTTTAATTCTAGAGGATCGCTGTCCAGTGAGAAATGGCTTTGTACTTCAGTCCAGCGTACGTTCCCTGATAAAGAGAACAAGAAAAGGCCCACAAAACAGCAGCATGCATTCTCCTCTGTGCTAGTTCTTCCCGTAAAAGAATTAATAAATAACACGTTGGGATTAGTTTTACAGCCCACAGGCAGACCGAGATCCAAAGTTTAAAGAACTGTTCTTTGGTAACGTCTGAGTTGCAGTCTATCTGAAGGCAGTGGAGCGGTCTGGTTTATGAATTCAGGAAGGAGACAGCCTCATCAGAAGACGCTAATCCAAGCTGGGCGTCATGACTCACATCTGCAATCCTAGCACTAAAGTGCTGGACACGGGACGGTAAGTTCAAGGGTAGCCTGGACTGCGTAGAAAGTCTGTGTCTCAAAAGCCAGCAAATAGAAACAGTCTAGCAGGGGTGTGGCTTATGGGCAGACTGCTTGTCTAGCAGGGGAAAGGTCCTGAGTTTGACACCCAGAAGTGGGAAGAAATAATACAATCCAATATTGAAAACTAAAATGCCTTTAGGAGACAAAGGTAGCATAAATATTTACAAGATCATTGAGACCCCAGCCTGTTAAAATCTCTAGCTACATATGTGTAGCTGGAATCCCAGCCACTGCGGATTGTCTCGCGGCTGACTTTTTCTTTTCTTCCTTTCTTTTTTTATGACACAGATTTTTTTTTTGTTCTACCTGCCCCCCAAGACAGGGTTTCTCTGTTGCTTTGAAGCCTGTCCTAGAACTGACTCTTGTACATCACGCTGACCTCGAACTCACTGAGACTGCCTCTGCCTCTCAAGTGCTA